ATCGCTTATTCTTCTTCTGAACGGCTTCCTGGAACTCGCATATTCAATTTTATTGTCAGTCAGTTTTATTGGTGAACGGGTTGACGACCGCCTTCTAATTCGCTTGTTGGTTGAAATAACGTTGCCAAAGACAGAGATAGGACGTTGGAAAGGAGACTGACTGTGGAACTATATGTAACTGCTTGGCAGCTAATAAGTTGCCAAAGTATACATTGTGTTTTGGCAAAATAAGTAGCGTTTCAAAACCCGTTACCGAAATGTGCTAAGGAGCGTAAGAGTAACCACTCAAATTTCATCCTGAATAAACTCGACCTTGACACGTTGTCATTGGATGCTAAAGGCTGCGTAAAGGCCTCCCCTGCTATGCGGGTTCGACTTCCGCCAAACGCCGCGAGTTTTTCACTATTGGGTAATTTTAATTAAGAAAATCTGCCAAAACCCCCCTAAGTAATTAAGTCAGCCTACTAGTTAATCTGGTGGATTCTAGATGATTGCTTAGGAAGCCCTGCTTTGGCAGCTAGCTAGCTGTTTCGTAATGGTGGATTCCATACGAGCCGTAAGTTGGGTGGGTAAAATCGATCTAAGTGTGATTAAATTCACGGTGCAAGGCGTAGCGTTTGTAGCTCAAGTGGTAGAGCGTTGGCTCCGTAAAGGCCTTTCCTGTTATGCCGGTTCGAAACCCGCTAAACGCCGCGAATTTTTTCCACAATTGACTCATCTAAATTAAGCGAATCTGACAAAAAATGAAATAAACTGAAATACCTTTCAAAAGGCTGGGAATCGAACCAAAGCAATATGATGCGCGAGGCAATGCTCTGCCGCACAGGGGTACTTGCCAAGGTCGTCTTATCGGGCAGCATCGTGGATGGGTAAGGTCGCCATCGCGACGACTGCACTCCCATTCCTGCAGTGACACCCAGCTCTAACGGCGCTGGCCACCTCTTCCCCCGCTCTTCCATTGATTGTGTCGATCGACTCTTACTTTTGCTTGATGTGCACGTCGATATTGGAAATCGGCAGGGAGGACCATATGTCAATTGCTTTATGGCTTATATGCAAGGGGGTTCTTTTTTGCATTCGGTCCGTCAGGAGGACAAAGGTCTAACATCCCAGACTGTCCTAC